GGAACCAGGGAGGGAAATTAAGGTGCCTCTAGGCTCACATTCTCCATACAGAAGTATATTTTGTAAATAAATCGTTTCATTGCTAGCCTGATTTTTTCCCCCCTCTATTCGAAGCGTTGAATTAGGAGGAGACAGGAGTCACAGCTGAGGAAGAGCAGAAATCTAGCATCTGCAAGGCATCAGGCTAGAAACTAGGGCGCTGCGAGTTCTAGTCCTGCTTTAGGTATGCAACCTGACTGGGTCGCTTTGGGCCAGTCACCAGGAGACGGTGAGTTCTAGACCCACCTTAGACATGAGAGCCGGCTGGGTAGTTTTGGGCCAGTCACCGGGAGAAGGTGGTGAGTTCTAGTCCCATACTAGACACGAACACCAACTGGGTGAGTTTGGGTCAATCACCAGGAGACGGTGGTTCTAGTCCCACATTAGACATGAAAACAATCATCAAAGGACAGTGAGTTCTAATCCCACCTTAGGCAGGAAAAATCGCTGGGTCTTCCTCCCTCTCAGCCCAAACCCAACTCACAGTGGTGGCGTTGTGGGGAAAACCGGAGGAAGAAGGAACATTAGGTAATATTTTGTAAGGCGGGATAAACCATAGCTGGAGGTTTTCAAGAAGAATTTGGGGTCTATCTATCCAGGATGGTACAAAGTGTCTTGCTTCAGCAGGGGTCTAGACTAGATAACCTCCAAGGTCCCTTCCAATTCTATTATTCCACGATTCTACCAGGAAAAAGGAAAAAAAGGGATAGATTGTTAATGAGATTTGAAATCAAGTTTAGATTTTTCTCTCCTGTGCATTTTCTGGGACAAATATACCTGGATGTCCCTCGCTAGACTAAACGAGAGCTTTTAGGGACTTTTTGTGACTCTGCACAACGAACCACAAGCACACCTGGCCACCAGCCCGGTCCACTGAGATGGGAGTTTCCCATCAGGGTGAAGAATGTGCAAATTCCTTCGGCTGGCTATGGTCAAGGTTCTCCGATTCCAAAGGTGTCAGAACTATAATTCCCAGGACCCCAGAGCCTGCTGGAGGCAGGACGGTGGGGGCTGCGGCCTTAAAACATGAACGATTAGTCCTCAACGTACATCAGTTCATTTAGTGGCTACTCAAAGCTACAACAGCCCTGAAAAAGAAGTAATCGCAGCATCACCCATGGTTACGTGATCAGAATTCAGATGCTTGGCGACTGGCTTGTTTTTAATGACGGTTGCAGTGTCCCTGGTGCGTGTGTGTGAGTGTGTGCATGTATGTGTGTGTGTGTGTGTGTCACGTGATCCCCTTTTGTGAGCGTCTGACGAGCCAAGTCAATGGGAAAGCTGGATTCACCTGCGACTAACTTAAGAACTACAGGGATTCACTTAACAACTGTGGCAAGGAAGGTTATCAAATGGGATTTCACAACCGCCTCACTTAGTGAGAGAAATTTTGTGCTCAATTCCCCTGGTAAGTCAAGGACTACCTGTGGAAGGTATCAGGCTGGGGGAAAGTGATGTAGATTAGTGCGTGCGTGTGTGTGTGTATGTGTGAGAGAGAGAGAGACACACATGTCTGAAAAGAGGATAAAGCCTAACTTTAATCTAATCTCATCCAATTAGACAAAATTGGATTTCAAAGGAGCTCTTATCGTATCTCACAGCCAAGGTTTCCAACCTGGACTAATTCGAGACGTGGGACCTCCAACTCCCGGGATCCCCGGCCATATGGGAAGCCCAGGCCCACTGCCTACCCCTCCCTCCTCTGGAAGTTGTTTAGTTAGGCATTGTGCACCAGCATAATAATAATAACCCCTTTCCACTGTTCCTGCCCCCTTCGGATTTAATTTGTGGCTTTGAGTCACGGGTGGTCCTTGACTTACCAACACCGCTGAGCCCAACATTTCTGTTGCAAAGCGAGACAGTTGTTACGTCAGTCTCACCCCACAGACTTGCGACCTATTTTTGTCAGGGAATCCAACCAGTTGTTCAGTTAGTCCCACGGTTGTGAACTGAATCTTGGTTTCCCCATCGACTGTGGTGATCGGAAAGTTACCAAAGGGGGATAACATACGGCACTGCGATCTCATAATGCTGCAAATCGTAAGTGTGAGGACTGGTTGTAATTAGTGCCACTGTAACATCAGGAAGCCACTAAATGAGTGGTTGTAAGTTGAGGATTGCCTGTGATCCAAGGTAAATATTCAATACCCGGGGAAGAGCTGTCTTGAAGATTTATATCCTGATTGGAATTCAGGCCAGTAGTTTATACTTGACTTCAGAATGGATTTATTTAATGATTTATATCCCGCCTTTGTTATTTTTACAAACAAAGAACATCAGCCGCATATCCGACTCATCTTCCATTTCTTGTTTTCCCTAAAACAAAAGCCCTCTGCAGCAGGTTGGGCTGAGACAGAGGGACTGACCCAAAGCAACCCAGCTGGCCTTCAAACTTAAGTGGGACCAGAACTCACTTTCTCCTGGAGATGGGCCCAAAGTCACTCAGCCAGCTTTCACACCTAACAGGGGCCTTGAACTCACCCACGTTCCTACTTAAGCTCGGTGCTTTAACCACTAGATCAAACCAGCTCTCTCAGTTTTAAAGATAAATTTACCCAGCGGAAGCAGCCACTGAATTCAGAGGATACCGTCTTGAAAACGTCCAACAATTTTCAAAGGTTTGCACACGGGCATTTTCTGCTAGGTAAAATCCAAGCATCTGCATAAACTTTTCTGAAAATAACAACTGAAACTTGACTAGGAATTGCCCAGGACTGTGGAACCAGTCACCAAAATATGTCAACTTCAGCCTAGGTATATTTATAACCCAGGCTATTTTGAGAGACGTATTAATATTTTTGAAAAAAGTCCAAAAGTTCCATTCCCCCTTTTTTTCAAGCAACGTTTTCAACCAATATGAGTCACAAGAAGGATGTGCTAAAACAGCCAGGGTCAAAAGCAGAAAATCAAGAGACAGAGGAAAAAGGAGATCACAGGTGGTCTTCGACTTACAAGGAGTTCCTTTAGTGACCGTTCAAACTTACAATAGCATTGAAAAATGGGCTTTTTCACACTTACAGCATGCCCAGGATCACGGGATCGAAACTTACGTGCTTGACAAATGAATCACGGTTACGACGGTTGTAGTGTCCCCGGGGACCACTTGACCACCCCATTTTTGTGACCTTCTGACAAGCCAAGTCAACGGGGAAGCCAGATTCCCTTCACAACCTTGTGACTGAATGAACAACTGCAGTGATCTACTTACCAAATGTGGCAAGGCTTTAAAACTGGGTAAAACCCACTTAAAGACTGTCATGTCATTTAGCAATGGAAAGTTTACGGCTTACGACCACAGCTCAAACTGTGGTCGTAAGTCAAGAACTACCCGCCCACACCAAGAAACAGAAGGGTTAGCAGGTGTTCTAATCTAAACTCCCATGTTGTTGCCAGCCACAATTTCCAGAGGCTTCAGGTCAGACAGAGACGGATTTTGTAACACCAGATTTTATGGTGACAGGGTGAGTGGGTGGAGGAGGCAGCCTGCAGTCAAGAGGAAAATCACGCACCCTTTCATGGGATTGCCTGTGTACCTCTCTCTGTGAAAAGGAGGAACCCACGCTGGGGCTTGTTGTGAGCTTAGCTCACTTCCACAAGATCACAAGGTTTCCAGGACTGGCGGTTTAAAACAAATGAGCCTGTTTTGTTTTGCAGCAAAAGGGAAAATAAGGCTGTTGCTGTGATGGGGAAAATATTAAGGTGATTCCACTTCCTAACTGATAGATAACAGGACTTCCAAACTGTGGTTGAAGAAAAAGAGAGAGGCAGTTTGGTCTAGTGGTTAAAAGGCAGCGGGATAAAAAGTGGGAGACGGTGAGTTGTAACCCCGCCTTACACCCAAAAGACGGCTGGGTAACTTTGGGCCAATCACCAGGAAATGGGGAGTTCTAGCTCTGATTTAGGCCTGAAAGCCAAACGGGTGACGTCAGGCCAATCACTAGGAGACGGGGAATTCTAGTCCCACCTTAGACCTGAAACCCGTCTAGGTGACTTTGGGCCACTTCCTCTCTCTCAGCCCAACTCTCCTTACAGCAGGGGTCTCAAACACAATTTACCTGGGGGCCGCTGGAGGCAGAGTCTGGGCCGCATAATATTATACTTTATATTATAATTTATATTTATATTATACACTAATATTATACTTTCATATCACGGTGGGGGCCAGAGGATATCGTCCTGCGGGCCGCGAGAATGAGACCTCTGCCTTACAGGATTGCTAGGGGGGGGAAAATAGGAGGAGGAAAATTCGTTGGATATGTCCTTTGCCTTGAGCTATTTGCAAAAATAGCAAAGGCTGGTTACAAATGAACATTCACTTATTTATTTAGCGTATGGCAAACGCATGGGCTTATAGCAGTTCAAGTGTTAACGTCCCGTCCACCCAGCCGTTCAAGGACTGGATGGCCTATGTTGGAAAAAAAAAATCAGACTATTGGGACGATGGAGTAAGCGCTGGATGGACATCCAGAAACTAAGGGGATCGATCAGCCTCTACCCTCAGAATATCAGCCCTAGGGCTGGTCTACTCCACAGCTGAATACTGACCTCCCCGTTTGGCTTAATAGCTGCCACGCTAGCAAGACCGATGGCATAAAATCTACTCCTTCTTGCTGGCTCCCCGTCTTGAGTCACATAGTACCCCACCCCAGCTCTACAAAGGCAGAAAGCCTCAGTGAAGGAGCACCACAGAATTATGAGGAACCCACTTCTTCCTGTGCACGCTCATCTTCCTCCTCTATCAATGGGCAGGCTTAAATCCAGGAAGCCCCCCTCTGGTGCTCGCTCGACAGCTGCGCCACAACTTTGACATCAACACAGTGGAAAGCCCAGACACAGGCAGTTACGGAGATGACCCCACACACAAAAAGCGCCACGTTTTGCTCTGACTCGTCAGCATGGCTCTGCTCTGAACAGGATCCGAACCCAACATGGTGTCTTTGTTTAAGTGGGGTCTTGTCTCTACCCTCAGTGTGACTGCGGCGCTCCTCGACAAAATATCCATCACGAATAAATAAAACAAGAAAAACGGATACGTGTTCAATTATCGAGAATCCATCTTGCCTCAAGAGAGAGTCTTTATAGGTAGTCTTCAACTTACTATTTATTTAGCGACCATTTGAAGTTACAGCAGAACTGAGAAAAATGACTTATGACCAGTCCTCACACTTACAACTGTCGCTGCATTCCTGTAGTCACGTGATCAAAATTCAGACATTTGGCAACCGGTTGATATTTAGTTTCCGGGGGTGATCCCGCCTTTGTCACCTTCTGACAAGCCGAGTCAAGGGGGAAGCCAGATTTCCTTAACAACCAATTTATTAACAACTGCAGTGATCTGGTTAACAAACAAAAAAAGGAGGGGGGTATGTGTTAAAAATGGATGTGACTCATTTAAGAATTGCTTCTCTTAACAATGGAAATTCTTGACTCAATTGTGGTTATAAGATGAGGACTACCTGTATTTAAAGTGCATGATGAATCTTCAACCCATCTGAAGATCCAAACTGCACTCGGTTCAAAGATACAGGGGGAAATTTCACAGAGATTCAAAATTTATTTGCACCAATGTTGTTCCAGCCATTGTTTGTTGTGTGCATGAATCAGTTTTTGTCTTTTCATAAAAAAGAAAGTTGCTAAGTTTCAAGGATAAACCAGCATGTTCCACCCTCTCATGCGCATCTGGAGGCCGGAATGCTATAAATTATCCATGTTAAGTGTAAACAGATCCTTCAGGCTCACCTGTCAAAATAAACCACCTTCCCTGCCATTCATGGTTTAACAGTTTGCCTAGTAAAGTTTTGGGTCGATTTCAGGAAACGCAAACAGAGTGGGGATGGTAGATTGTTCAGGGCATGAATGTCAACAAAAGGTTTGACGACTGACAAATTGTGTTGCAATGCCATAAAAGGAAACCACATTCCTTTAGGTGTTCCAGTCTGACATTCGGTCACAAAACGAAAGACAGACAGGGGCTTGCATCATGACAGGTAGTCCTCACTTAGTGAGCATTCCAAGTTACAACCACAAATGAGCCCAACATTTCAATTGCTGAGTGAGACCATGAATTCTGCTCCATTTTCCTTTCTTGCCACAGTTGTTAAATGAATCACTGCCATTATTAAGTAACATGGTTGTTATTCCGGTTTCTCCACTGATTTTGTCGTCAGAAGGTGACAAAGTTGATCACATGACATCTCTGCGACTGTCATAACTATGAGTCGGTTGCCAAGCATGTGAACTTTGATTTATGTGACCACATGGGGACGCTGCAACAGTCGTAAGTGTGAAGAACAGTCATAAGCTGCTTTTTTCAGTGCTATTGTGACTTTGGTCACTAAATTACAGATTACAGATAATCAGAGTTGGAAGGGACCTTGTAGGTCATCTAGTCCAACCCCCTGCCCAAGCGGGAGCACCTATACATTTCTGACAGAGGGCAGTCCAATCTCTTCTTGAAAGCCTCCAATGATGGCGCTCCCACAACTTCCGAGGGCAACTTCTGTTCCATGGGTTGATTGTTCTCACTGTTAGAAAGTTTCTCCTTATTTCCAGGTTAAATCTCTCTTTGTTCAGTTTCCATCCATTATTCCTTGTCTGGCCTGTCTGGCCCTCCTCCCTGTGAACAGTTATGAGCTGAGGACTACCCGTAAAGTAGACAAAGTATTTCAGAGTCGAAATAATAATGCAGTTCTTGACTTATAACCACAATTGAGTCCAAAATTTCTGACGCTAAGCAAGACAATTGTGCCCCATTTTTACGACCTTTCTTACCCTAGTTGTTAAGTGATTCACGGCAGTTGTTAAGTAACACGATCGTTAATCTGGCTTCCTCATTGGCTTTGCCCATCAGAAGGTTTCAACTGTGACCGTTGTAAATACGAGTCGGTTTCCAAGTAGTTGAATTTTGATCAAGTGACCAGGGGGATGCAGCCACTGTCGAAAGTCACCCTTTCAGCGTCATAGCTTTGGATGATCACTGAATGAACTGTTGCTAAATCGAGGACTACCTGCTTCTGGCCAAAAACATATCATTACAGACCACTGTATTTGTTTAACGACTGCGGCGCGTTAGCTTAACATTAATATCACTGCAAAAATAAGTGGCTTGGGGATTCTGGGAGTTGAAGTCCACCCACTTTAAGGTGATGGAAGTTTAAAAAAAACCTTTTAGCTTAACTGCAGGTATTCCTCAATTTACAACCACAAGAGGGACCAGGGTTTCTGTTGCTAAGCCAGACGGTTGCTAAGCGAATCATGCCTCCTTTCACAAATTGGGCTGTGGTTGTTAAGCGAATCACTGCAGCCATTAAGTGAAAAACACCTAATAATACAAGAACACCCACAACCTAAAGGGAGAGCTCGCTGCTAGCCATCACAGTACAGGCAAGGGGTCGATGGGTTTTGTAGTCCCCAACCTCGGGCCCGGTATCGCTTTCCCGGTCCGAAGAGAATGCAAATGGCGGGCATAGCACAAGGAACGCGGGGTGGCGACCCTGCCACGGGGATGGGCTTTGTAGTCCCCGTTTGACAATACGCATGCGCGAGTGGCGTCGCAGTGACGTCACTAGAGAGCCAGTTCCCGCTTCGGGCCTTCCTCTTCAGACCGGGCGAGCCTCCACAGCCGCTTCCCGACCGTCCGAGCCAGCCTTACCTTTCTGTCCGCCCCGGTACGTTCCCTCAACGCCTTCAGTCGCTCCCTTCGCCGCAGCGCCTCTTCCTGCAAACCGCCGGCCTCGGTCGCCATCTTCGGGCCTACTGCGCACGCGCGTCGGAGGAACACACGCGCGTGCTGGCCGCTCCGAACGAGAGCAGAGTCGCCGATCGATGACGCCAGGGGCGGCCAGCCGAGCGTCGAGCTCATCGCTCCAGGCGTGAAAGTTTGCAGGTTCAGAATGAGTCGTTGGAAGAGTCCTGTGAGCATATGCAGAGTGCAGGAAGGCTGTAGAATGGGTTATAGCTGCGGAACAGTGACTAAGACTCGATGTTTCTTTACAGCTTGGCCAGTTTAAGATGGGTGCACTTCAATTCCCAGAATTCCCCAGCCAGCCATACTGGCTGGGGGATTGTGGGAGTTGAAGTCCATCCATTTTAAAGCTGCCAATTGTGAAAGACACCGTTCTAATTGTCTTACCAGGAACACCTTAGGATTTCCCCCTACTTCCATGCCATGTACAGATAGTCCTTGACTTACAACCGTCTGTTTAGGGACCATTCAAAGTTATACCAGCACTGAAAAAAGTAAACTATGATCTTTTTTCACACAACCGTTGCAGCCGCTCTACGTGAGTAAAATTTGGAGGCTTGGCAATTGGCTCTTATTTACGACTACTGCAGTGTCCCAGGGTCACGCGATCCCCTTTTGCGACCTTCCTACTAGCAAACGTCAGTGGAAAAGCCAGATTCACTTAACAACCGATGTATTCGCTTAACCACCATGGGGGGGAAAAAAAAGGTTAAAAATTGAGCGTGACTCATTTCCACAACTGCCTCGTTTAGCAACAGAAAATCCTTCAATTGTGGTCCTAAGTGAAATCCGTGTTAAATCTTGAACCCGCTTCAAAATGCAAAATACATTTAGTTCAAATGAGTCAAATTTGTGCAACAACCGTGTTACTAACTTCAAAGCTGCCGTGATTCACTTAACCGAGGTAAGAAAGGCCGTAAAGTGGGGCAAAACCTGGTTAATAAGTATCTTGGTTTAGCGATGGAAACTTTGGGCTCAGTTGTGGCCGTCAATTGAGAACACCGGCATTTCTACATGTCTTCCTTGACGTTTCAATTCCCTTCTCAGGAAAGCCTGCAGGCCACCCGTTTCCAGATTCCCCACCCCGACCCTTCCAGGTGCTGAAAAATTGGGGCCTCTCTCTTCCTAAGCCAACCCTGCACCCTCAAATAGTTGCATCCACACAACAGACAGAACCCAGAAGATGGGGTGAATTAATGGAACAGCCTGCCTTTCAGAATTGTGGGTGACCCATCGCTGGAGGTTTTCAAGAAAAGATTGGATAACTACTTGACTGGGATGATATAAGGTCTTCTGCTCGAGCGTGGGTTGGACTAGAGGACCTCCAAGGCCCCTTCCAGGCGTATGATTCCACGAGTCACACAATGACCTGTGTTGGGCATTCACCTAGCCAGGAAAACAAAGGCACTTCAGCAGAGAGGACTATCACTTGGAGAGGACAGTCGTATGGACGGACAAAGTGGGGTGTGGTAGGTGCAGCCCAATCTTAACCCTAACCCTAAAAGATTCATGGCTATGTTTGAAAGTCTGAATGTTTATATCATTTCCATAATGGGAGTCCCTGTCTTCCTAGCCCAAACGTACACTCCCAGGGAGTTGCATTCACACAACAGGTGGAACCTGGAAGATGGATCCCTTCGCAAAACGCTCTAGGCTTGTCTGTCCTGGGGTCTTTCAGCCAGAGAGGGACAACAAAGGCACCTGAGTAGAGAGGGGCATCTCTGGGAGAAGACCATTCCCCACCCTACAGTCATAAGTGAAGAAGCTCCTTAGACGAGGAGTGAAATGTCTTCAAAGAAAAATATTAAAAAAACACCTTTGGAATAACCACAAATTGGATGACTGAAAATCTCTCTCCACAGACACTCTTGGGGAAGAAGGTCTTGTTCAGGGGTCACAAACTTGGCAACTTTAAGACTTGTGCACTTCAACGCCCATAATTCTTCTGGCCATTGAAGTCCACAAGTCTTAAAGTTGCCAAGTTTGAAGACCTCTGGTCTTGTGAATAGACACAGCAGAGTGCATCTCTAACCCTATCCCTTCAAAGTTTAATTCTTTTTTATTATTATTATTATCCATATGTAAACATTTTGAATAGTGTATTGACGGGGCAAATCCTCTACGAAAGAAAAGTGAGGGAAGGAAATAATAACATATACTAATAACAATAATAAGGGTACAACAGAATAATTTTAATCAAGCTTATCTTTACGTTAGCTTATTTATAATCCTGTTGCTTATATTGGCATACTTCTAGTTATAAACCATATACGGTATAATTCTAAGCCTGAAGCCTTGCCAAGTGTTGAGAAATTGGGGTCCTCCTAGGCCTGCACCCCTGGATAGTTGCATTCACACAACAGATGGAACCTGAAAGATGTCTCCCTTTGCACAACGCCCTGCCTCTGTGTCGCGTGTTCTCCCAGGAAGGTGGCAGCCCCCCTCGGAGAGAAAGCTTGTGTGAACAAAGTGGGGTCCAGCAAGCATGATCCCCTAACCCTTCAAAGATTAATGGGTGCATTTCCAAGCCTGAAACCCTGCCAGGTGCTGAGAAACCAGGCTACCACCTGCATCTCTTCATAGTTGCATTCACACAGCAAATGGAACCCAGAGGATTCATCCTATCACACAATGTCCTTTGCCCCCTAACTCTTAAATGGTTAATAACTATATTTGCAAGACTAAAACATTACGGTATTTCCATAATGGGGAATTGTCCTCCTATCCCAAGCCTACGCACTCAGGGAGTTGTATTCACACAAACCAGTGGAACCAGGAAGGTTCATCCTTTCACAATACTTTAGGCCCCCTAACTCTAAAAACCCTAAAACATTCATGACTGTGTTTGCAAATGGAAACCTTACAGTATTTCCATAATGGGGGTCCTCATCCTCCTATTGCAAACCAGCATACCCAGGGAGTTGCATTCACACAAACCAGTGGAATCTGGAAGATTCCTCCTTTCACACAATGCCTGATAAACAATTAATGACGGGCATTTGCAAGCTTGAAGCAACATTACCATATTTCCATAATGGGACTCCCTCTCATAGCTGCACACCCGAAGAGTTGCATATACACAAGAAGTTAAACCCGGAAGATTCAACCTTTCACACAACGCTCCTAACTGTAAAAAACATTTTTTTAAAATCACCTTATGGTGTTTCCGTAACGGGGACCCCGTACTTCCCAGCCTCCTCCTAACCCAAACCCCGGATAACTGCATTCCCACAACAGGTGGAACCCGGAAGGCGCCTCCCTTCTCCCCGAGCGCCCCTCGCCTTCGCGTCACGCGTTCTCCCGGGGAAACAAAGGCACCTGCGCGCAGGGCAATCTCCCCGTCGGAGGAGGGTCGTGTGAACGCGGGCGGAGCTGCGGGTCGGCCGAGGGGCGCACCTGCGCTCCGCCCGCTGCGCCTCCCCGGAGCCCGGCCGGGCTGCGAATCAGGCGGCGGAGGAGGAGGAGCGAGCGGGGCTGGCCAGCAGCTCCGGAGGGCAGCGCAGCCCGAATCCGGGAGCCGAGGCATGGATAAGGGAGGGCGGCCGGCAGCGCTGCCCGACCGGGGTTAGAGAGACCGAGCGCGGCGGGCGAGCCCGGCTGGGAGAGCGCGCTCCGCGATGGCTTCCAAGGAGCGGCTCTACGAGCTGTGGATGCTGTACTTCGCCAAGGTGAGCCCGGCTGTCGGCCTCGCCCGCCTCACCTGCAGCCTCCCCCTCCTCCCCCTCCTCCTCCTCACCTGGGGAAGGGGATCGTGGGGGAGGGAGGGAGTTGGGCTGACACGCGGCGTTGGAAGGGGGTCGTGGGAAGGGAGCCCGGCGGACGAGACTGAGGAGGGCGCGCCTCTGCGGTTGCTTGGATCGGGAGGGGCGGAGGGGGGGTTGCCTTGCTTGGTGCTGCTTCTCTTCCCCGTCCTCCTTCTCTTCCTCCTCCCGCTCCTCTTCTTCCTCCTCCCCCTCTTCCCTTTCCTCTTTCTCCTTCCCTTTCTCTTCCCCTGATCCTCCCACTCTTCCTTTCTTCTTCCCCTTCCTCCTTCTCTTCTTCCTTCCCCTCACTGCTCTTCTTCCTCCTTCCCCTATTCCTCCCATTCCTTCTTTTCTGTTTCCCCTTCCTCCTCCTTTTCCTCCCCTCTCCTCTTCCTCCTTCCCCCTTCTCCCATTCCTTCTCCTGCTTCCCCTTCCTCCTTTTCCTGCCTCTCCCCTCTTTCTCCATCTTTCTTCTTCCCCTTCTCCTCCTCTTCTTCCTTCTCCTCTTCCTCCTTTCCCTTCTCCACTTCCCCTTCCTTCTTCTTTTCCTCCCCATATCTCTTTTCCTCTTTCTCCTTCTCCTCCCCTCCTTCCCTCCTCCCCTTCCTCCTTATCTCCCCACTCCTGGGAGTATCAGTTACCTGTCTATTCTAAAGAGGGGTGTTTCTTAGAACTCACCCAGCACACCTGTCCAGGTGAGCTCTGCCTCCTCTTCCACCTGCTCCCCCTGTTCCTGCCCTGCCCTTTCTCCCTGGGGTCCGTTCTTGGCTCTCTTTCTCTCTCCCTGCCTCCTTCCCTCCCTCGCCAGGTGACCCAGCGCCACCCTTTCCTGTCAGGCTGATGAGCTTTGTAGTCAGGCTGAGGAGGATGAGCTTTGTAGTTTTTTTTTTCTGAGCTTGCCCCTTCCTGGGTCACAGGTCACCTCTCTCTCCCCCTCCCTCCTTTTCACGAGGCTGTCCTCCAGTCACCTGACATTGGGGAGGGGGGTTTCTCTTAACGTGACCCCTTCCCCCCCCAATACACCCAACAACCACCCTGTAAGGTAGGCTGGGCCTGCTCCGAATCACCCTTTTGCATTTCCAAAGTGGAGAGTGACACCCATGTGCCTCTCTGCTCCCCCAACCTCTAGTTCCCTTCTGGGGTCCTGGGACACCTCCACCTCCTTGCTTAAAAATCCTTTTATATTCTTCCCTGTCTTCTCCACCTCCTTTAATCTTCTCCTTCTTTCTCTAATTCCCTTCCTCCGGCATTTATTAGAGGCAGCAGGCAACTGTAGTCTCTGATAAATATCAAATGAATAATAAACACAAGTTGTCCCTCCCTCCCTCCTTCCTTCCCTCCCCCCTTCCCTCACAACCACCTGCCAGTGAGTCTCCAGCCGAATCAAAAACCTTTGAGGTCTGGACTACAATTCCCATTCTTCCCCTGGTTGGGGACGATGGGGGTCTCTCCTCGCGAAAAGTCGTCTTCTTC